CAGATGTATAATATTTTCAGGTAGATATTAAAAAAATTCTAATCAATAACACATTCGAGGTAACATGATATGGCTATCTCTGTTATTTTTTAATTTTGTTTCTAGGCTATAAAAACTATCGAAACCCAATACAGGAAAGATAAAAACAATTGAAAGGTATAAAAATAACAATTTCTTCCAATTATCCCCAATTTTCCAATTTCCTGTTTTTCATTTTTGTCAATATTTTGACAGTGCAAGTATATACTGCCTGTTTTATATCAACAAGTGATTAGGTCGTAGAATGACATCTTACAAATAACTTCAGTCAAAACCTGCTAATTAGCTCAGCTAGGGAACCTTATCTGATTCTGTATCAGACCGCCATCAAATTGGGAATTCTGCTGATGAAAGCTGTTCTTTTACAGACTATATTTAGCCACGAATCAAGATCAATATTTTCGTTGAATAAACACTGTGATTAATATAATTGAATCAATTAATTTTGCCAGGTTTTCCCTTGTAACCATGACAATTCAGATCGACAAAATACACTTATGACAAATTGACAATCATGAGATGGCTTTTTTCCCTATGTGATACATGTAAATGAATGGTCCATCAAAACGATAAGATGTTCTTTCATGTAATACTCTCTCCCATACTTAACTCATTCACCCCTGAAGACACACTTGAACTCTTCCAATTCAAAGGTTGGAATAGTTCATTATGAAACTTCAGGGGTGAATGAGTTAAACCAGTACAGCATCCAGTTGTTTCCAGGGAATCAATAATCTTCTCCCATTCACAGCTCTCATCACCTCTCCGTTCCATAACCTGTATGGCTTCTCCCTGTCATACAAACATATAAACACTTAAGATGAGGAAGACAAAAAATACATTAAATCATTATACTTACATAGGAGACCCATAATATCACAATAATGCATAATGTATTTTTTAGACAAATTCTGTTAATAACAAACTATTCATGTTCTGTTTTTCTTATTTTGGTGTTGAAAGTTAGCTTAACCCACAAAACATCCTCTAGCAATCTCATTACAAGAGATCCCAGAGGGATCTTGGCGCCCACCTCTGTACCATCTTCATTAGTTCTTTGTCAGTTCAATCTTTTCTCTTCTTTCCTCTAATCTGTTTGATTGAGTCATGTTAACAGTAAATGCACCTTGAGGTAACTTTTGATCTAAACTTAATACTGATGTGTATGAAAGCCAACCTTCAAAGTGAGTTTGTCATTTCACATATTGACTAGTACAGTACTTAATGTGAAAGAAATAGAATCGATCATTGCAATGAGAAAGATCTGTTTAGTTCTTCTTTTATTCCATTTTGTTTTTATGATCAGTCTCAAAATATAACATACACAACGAGGGATCAAGGGGAACCTACATTTAAAATTTGAGAAAGATCCCTCCCGTACTTCCCGATAAATAGCGATAACAAACTTTCACTATCAAAATCCAAGATGGCTGCCTGTCAGCCTTGTTGTTTATCCAATCAGTCTCTAAAATTGCCCTGCACAGCTAGGACCAAGGGGAACCTACATATAAAATTTAAGAAAGATCCCTCTAGTTCTTCCGGAGAAATAGCGGTAACAAACTTTCAATATCAAAATCAAAGATGGCTGCCTGTTGGCCATGTTGTTTAAACGATCAGTCTCAAAAGTTGCCCTGCACAGCTAAGGACCAAGGGGAACCTGCATATAAAATTTGAGAAAGATCCCTCTGGTACTTCTTGAGAAATACCGATAACAAAGAAATGTTTACGGACGGACGACAGACAACGGACGACGGACAACGGACGGACGACAGACCACTGACGCAGGGTGATTTGAATAGCCCACCATCAGATGATGGTGGGCTAAAAAATAGGGTAATAAAAATAAAATAAAAATACTTGGACCAAAAGTATGTAAAATTCATCATATGTCTTGACCATACTTCTGAATGAAGTATATGTTACTATTCCATCAAAGACACTCCCTGTTCATAAAAAACACAGGTGTCCAGTATAGCTGTACAATAAGAAAGCATCCACCGTCTAGTATAACCTCACATCTTATTCCAGTGCTACAAATACAACAAAAATAAAACCATCGTGCAATATAAGCATTAAACATGGTATAACAGGATTTTACTTGTTAATTGCACAATAATCAAAGGGTTACAGTACTGCTCGTGCGATTCTGCTATCTATTTGCATCAAAAACATGGTTTCCTTCCTTCCCTAATTTGTTCAGAGCCAAAAGTGGAAAAAACTTTTTTTTTCTCAGCGGCCTAGCTAACTAAGATTACAACAATGCTAGAAAAAACAGGATTAAAATAATTTCATTTATACACATGATTGTTGAGTTTCCCGAATAAAATATATACTTTACTATAAGGACATGCAAATCTTATTTATCAATGTCACAAAATGTCTGATGATTATTATCAGTTACAGCTTACATATATTGCTTCCTCGTACCAATTAATGGTGATATTTTTGGTTGGGTTAGACAACCTAAAAACATCACCCCTCGGGTTGGAGATTTCTCTGTCACACCCTCAGGGTAGGGGAAGATTCTATTAATTCATGATTCACTCATTGAATTAGCTGCTGGCAACATAGAAGATCACACAAAGTCAAACATAAACTGCTTCAAGAGAAATAAATAAAAAGCAAAACTATACAAAAAATAATAGAATACATTTAAAAGGTGAATATTTCATATCCCTATTAGTTATCTGTCAGCCAATCCTTATATATATAACTATACAGAAAATAGTAGAAAATATGTATAACAAGGTGAATATTTCATATCCCAATTATATTTATCTGTCAGCTAGTCTATCCTAATATTTTCTGGAAGTCTTTCAGGGTTATGGATTTTAATTGAGAGAGAGTTAATGATCTTAATTAAAAATCTAGAATAATTACTCCTTGGTTTAAGTACAAAGTTGAAGAAAAGTTAATTTTTAAACAATTTAGGCAATAATCAAGGTTTCAGTTTACTTTTAACTATATTTACATGTTTATATTCCCGATCACCATAAAAACTAATTATGCAATACGGATGACTTGAACATTTTTTAATAACTTCAGTAATTTGTTAAAAGAAGGAAATTTTAAGTTCTAACTTTAATGTACAAAAAGAAGTTCATTCAGAAGTAAGCAGACATCTGGAAAAACTTTCATCTGCTACTGATACAGAACCAATAAATTCAGGATTTATTGCATAACCAAAGATAATTTTCCTAAATTAAGTCATCCCAATTCCTTTTTCTAATTTTTACCTAGAAAAGGTAATTTTTTGGCTTGCTGCATCCTATTAAAAACCTCTTACAGAATCAAGAAAATGGCCATACAGAGTGATTATCACCAATGAAAACTCTCGAGATTTATAACTTCAGATTACTTAGAAGTAAAATCTAAAAATCCAACCAATCCTTTGCAATAAAATTGAAAAGAAAAAATCTTTAAACAATCTCTAGTATATCTAGAAAAAGCCAAAAACTTTTAATAATGACACTGTTCTTCAAACTGATCACAATTCTCTCAGGCTCTTTTCATGATTATCTTTTGTTGACCTTTTGCAGTCCAGAATCTCTGGTCACAGGTCATGCAGATTTGCTGGTCTGTCATTTAAGGTCAATTGTGTACATTTGTATTTGTTTAAAAAAACATAAAATAGGCTCCTAATGGTGGATAAATATATGTATCTGATATTTTTCACTTGTAAATTGTTAATTAATTTACAAATTAGGTTAAACCACAGAATTAGATTAGATTGCTATCTACCAAAGCCAGTACTCAAAACTGAAAAGTTTTCATTAGTCAATTGTTTCCACGAATTTTATCAACCATATAGTATTAATTTCAAGAAAATTGGTTCACTTTTTAAGAATTCATACCATCCACTTTTTGGTTACAAATTGATATTTCCACAAATGGTTCTAGAATTTGAAATGCAAAATACTGGCACGGTAACGTATGCCCTTGAAGAGGTGTTAATTAAATGTCGTTCAAATATTTTAGGGTCAACGGATGTTCTTATTAAATTTCTTCTCCAAAATAGCGTTAGTTTTGAGAAAAAAAAGACTTTTGAAAATGATACCCAAATGAATACCTTCCCAGGACACAGTTAAGAACGTTTTTTTTTTAATTCGGCCCATTTTCGACTTTAGAACCGTCCACATAATCAGCAGCTAATAAAGCTGATACACTAATTAATTGACATAGATGTATCATTTAGTGAAAATTGCATATATAGCACTATTTCTTTGCATTGCATGACATTTTTTGGGGATATTTTCCTACAAATGATTGTCCCCTTCTGTCCCGTTTTGAGATCTAAAACAATGGCATTTTCTTGCTCTCTCAACTAATTTTCCCCATATAACGATTATGTCCCCTGCATATTTTCAACTTTGGATACGAGCAATCTTTCATTTTCTAAAAAATGATTGTTTTACTATAGAAATGTTAGGCCTACTCCAAGGTTTTTCAATTATTACCAAAAAGTTCCCTCCAAAACAACTTTTTTCTTCAGGCCGCAATAAGCCATCGAAAAATGAAAGTAGAGAGTAATAAATATGATGATAAACGAATACAGCAAGATGTGATCCGGATTGCATTCAAATGGAAATAGTATTATCCTATTAATATTTTAGTTTTAATTAAGTGTTCATTATGTAATATTATTATAATGATGGAGATATTCAACTGTGAATATAAACAGATAAAATACAGATAAAACATTTTAAAATATATGTTTCATTCCGTTCCGGAAAATACACTACGGTTTGTCCACTTTTACTAATTTTGTTGTAATTTTACTCTCTACACCATTATATAGTTGATAAATTTAACTTTGGTTACGATATCTAAACTCCCAAAAATACATCTATGTTATACATTTTAATTCAATTTATGCAATAAAAATATTAAATCAATTTTATGTTTTTATTAAACCCCAACAATACTTCAATTGAAAGTGGTTTAGAGATTATAATCTTCATGTTCGCGGAGTTGGCAAAAATGAGGGCATCGTCTGTCATTGAACATATTTACTAATCTAGGATGTCTTCCAGTGTTGTTGCGATTTTAGGAAAATTTGTCTGCTTCTTTTTCTACTCCATTGCAATTTAATCCAGGTGAATGACTGATATTTTTATAAAATATATATTTCGATGCAAAACCTATCTTTGATGATGCAGTGCTTTCCCGGCTATATCAGTATCACGTTCTACCACGAATCTAATTCCGTGGTTCTACACGTATGTAAACTTTCTTAAGTGGTCAACGCAATTTTTCATGACATTTTAGAACAAACGAAAAATATTTTCAATCATTGTAAGAAAAATGTATGTTCGAATAAATATATCCTGTAAGGCCGACAATTTCTGAACGTTATGCAATCAGCGAATTACGATTCGTATTGGAGTAAAACAACAAAGTTCGGGTCACTCATAAACTGCTAGACTCTGATAAAGTCTCATATGCAAAACAATTGTCGAAAAGTGATGAATTATTTGCAAAAAATGGCAGGCTTTACAATGCAAACTCTCGTAAGGTGTGCATTATGCTTGCCACAAGTTTTGTCATTTCATCCTAAAACAGTGTAACGTGGTCAACCTCTGGATCAATTTTCCCTATTATCTTTTCATCATATATATACCAATAGGATTAATGGATGCTTATTATTTCTGCTCTAATAAATCATGTAAAAAAAAAGAACAAACATTGTCAGCTAATAGAGACTAGCTTACTTGTTTGTACATGTATGTGCAATATACCCATATATTGGAGGCTTTTGGGAAAGTAAATTTGCACATGTATAGTTTTTTTGTTAGAGCAAAAATATCAAATTTAGTCACCTAATTTTAGCACCAATATCAAATATTGTTCAGTCTGACCAAGGGCAAAGGATAGTAAGGTGCAGTGACCTACATGTAATTATCACATGCATCTGACCATAAACAATTAAACATGATATGTATTTGACTATATATTCAACAGTAAGATATGATGAAGCAAAATGTAGATTGGTAAAGTGCTGTAAGTTTTAATAACATGACACTATCTCATTATATTAGTAGTACATGCCTAAAACTTGAACCAGAATGTCAGACTGAACAATGAAATGTTTTGACAACTATTTTCTGACGGGAACCATTCGATGTGTGAATATAGAACATGTGAACATGCTGAAGCTTTAATTTTACTTGTATACTTATGATGGACATTTTAAAGTGTGTATATTATATATATTTTTATCATGGATTGTTCTAACTAACGTTTCTAACTTCAGGTGTAGAATACAATTATGGCTGTTTAAGAAGAAACCTTGTGATGGCTGCCCTATCATGGGCATCCATTAATCTGGCTGGTATCCAGCTACAGATCCAGGCAGCTTTAATTGTAGTCAAATGTTGTCCAGGTAACAAGTCTCAGCATTAAGGGCAAAGAAAAGAAAGGTGTCAAGGTTGCAGAGAAAATTAACTTTGCCTTATTGATATAAAATATTAAGACAGTAAATACACTAGAGTGAACTAAGAGAAAAATAAATATTGTATAAAATCTTAAAAGATTTATGAAGACACCTGCAGAATGCCAGGATATGAGCCAGAATGTGGCCCAAAATGTCGGTCGCGACAACATGCCCTGGAGTTTCTCTGCGCTGTTACGAAGGGAAACCTACAGGAGGTCCAGGCATATAGCAAGTTGTGTTACTCTGCCACTCAGTTCTGCGACAGTTATGGACGATGGCCGCTCCATGTTGCTGCTGCCTGTGGTAAAATAGACATCGCAGAATGGTTGTTAAATGAAAAGCATGGAGATCTCACATCCAAAGACATGGAGTCAGGCTGGACAGCTTTACACAGGGCTGCATTCTATGGACATCTCGCTACCATGCGACTCCTTATCCAGGTGAAACATCCTACCTGACAGTAACATATATGAAGTAAAAGTACTCAAGTGTTTGATTCTGGTTTATGTCATTGTTGATACTCTGATGCCCAAACCTTTTTCTATTTAAAAAAGGGGCAAAACTCCAAAATATGTAAAATGGCATTTTAAAGACAACCATAGTAATTGAAGATACTGGAATATTTCAAGGTAAAAAAAAGTCATTTAATTATGAATGATAATATGAAAACTTATGAAATGTATGTCTATCAGATTTGCTGAGATACAAAATGTATTGTTGTATAATTGATGTATGTTTGTTCTAATTTGACAGTACAACAGTGACATGTACACGAGAGACAATGAGGGACTAGGACCACTCGACCTGCTGTCCAAAGATCGACCAGTTTATGTTTCCTTTTCATCCACAGGTATGCATTGATTGGTATTGAGATTTTTAACCTGAGTTTCTCATGCTTCTAGCAATTCTATTGCAATATTGACATCTATGTCATTTCATTTTCAGATCCAACTGAAACTTTCACATGGGGAGATAATTCCAACATCACCCTTGGACATTCTAGTGAAAACCGTCGGACCTATCCAGAAGCTGTGGAGATTTTCAGAAAGCAAAATATTAGTGTAAAAAATGTAAGATATGTGAATTCATTAAAAAGTGACACTGCATGTGTGTGTTTGATAAACTGAATAGATTGAAAAGTAACTTCTAAATTTACACTGCACTGCAGATTAGAAGAGCAATGATAATACATGTTCACAAATTCTATTGAATCATTGTTGTGTTTATTGATGTTACAGGTGGTTCTGTGTAAGTATCACACAGTGTTCCTGACAGTGACGGGTCAGGTATACAGCTGTGGTCACGGCCATGGAGGGCGACTCGGCCATGGGGATGAGGAAACGTGTGTGGTAAGTTGTTTTGTTGCAATACTTGTTATCGCGACCATCCACGAGTTACTCCCCTTCGAAGTGTTCTTGCCGGAAAATGCACAAGTCTCGCGTGAGAATGCGAGGATACGGGGGCAAAATAATCTGCCATGTCTAAACAATATGACACACCTTCACTGTATTGAACCAACACAAATAACTCACAAGAATAGAGGTCACATCAAATGCATTTAGTAATGACATTCCAATCAAATTGTTCGTCCAAAACAAGCCTTCTGACATTTCATTTACATAAAGGTAACACACGATACTCTGTACGCCGCTGACGGTCCGTCACAGCTGTGACGCTTTAACTTCGTCCTCTTTTCAATATCTTGCCAATTTAACATGTCTGCTTGCTATCATAGGTGTACTAGCTCCCCCTTTTTCTTATTTATAGTAGGTGATACCTTTTGACTTTAAAATATTACCCAATTCATTACATGGAAGTTCGTGGAAATTCGTATCTGAATGTTTTGGCGCTGCCATGTTGTTTATATATCTGTTGCCCCAGCGAGTACAGTTAAATCCCCTCCTATTTGAAGAGTTCCACTGGTCGCGATATCATCTATTGTCTGTTCTCAGTTATAAAGCCAATTTCCAATGTAAATTTATATTTCTTTTCATTTTAAGTCTGCAGTTGCTGTCAAATTGATCACTGAATATATAATCTGGACAATTTGTATTGTCATTATTGAATGATTTGACATGACTTAGGCCAAACAAAAAAGCACAATTTTCTGTAACATGTTTGAAATATTTAGGGTTGATAGCTAGGAAACTAATTTTATTTAAAAAAATATTTTTATGTGGTTTATACAGGAGAGTGACCTTGAATTTAACAGTGTCTCTTTGAAAATTGCCTTAAAAGTTTAGGTTAGGCACAAAAAAGTCAGATATGTAGGGTTACCAGAAAAAAAAGAAATATTTTTGTTTGGTCTTAGAGTTTGTATGGTGAGCTTTGCATTCTGTAGTACTGTATTCAATATGGATATGGCATGGTTCCTTTTTCATTCTCTGTTTTTGAAGGATATATAATAAGCATGCTTTGATGATATTGTATAGTACAGGATGATTTCCTTGGCTGTATTACAGGTACCAAGACTTGTGGAAGCTGTCAAGGATGAAGTTTGTACACAAGTAGCAGCAGGACAAGACCACACCGTCCTTCTGATGCAAAGGTTTAAACATTCTTTTGTAATCCTCTTTTAGTTATTTGTAAAAACAAATTTAAGAAACACTTCATTCCAAAGCTCATAATATTAAGCCTATCTTATGGTATAGGTTGGCCAGAAATTGACAAAAGACAGTCTCTACCTCTTCTGCATTCTAGAAAAGTTGCAAAATTTATCATGTGGTATGTGTTATATTGACAGTGGTGCTGTGTACAGTTGTGGAATGAATGACAACCACCAGCTAGGACAGTTCCCAATGCCTTCTACTGGGAAAAGTTTGATTCCCAAGCAGGTGTGTTTCAATCTCAATTCCCTTGTCAGGCCAAATATTAATAAAACTTCTTTAAAATATTTTAATAGAATTACATTGTAAGATTTAAATTCTGCTAAAACAAAAAGGTATTGTAATAATTAGCCTGTGACTGGAACACACCGTTTATTGTGCCTGCTTTATCAACATAAACAATGTATTTCTTCACAGGTCTCAAACAAGAGTCACAAGAGTAAGACGATCCTGAGTGTGTGTGCTGGTCGCTTCCACACTGCCATGTTTACCTCAGATTCTGTTTTCACTTTTGGACTTAATGCAGGACAACTTGGTAAGTCAGTTACTTACCAGTAAATACAACCTAGCCAAAAGTGTCACTTTTAGTAATAAATACATTTAGGAAAGCTTCGTTGAAGCTCAACTCTTAAATGAACTTGAATATATTATTGACCTTTATTCTTACAAAATTTTCATTCATTGTTTTAAAAGTCCATGCTGCTTTGTCAAGAAAAAAATCACCAAATTTTATATATCTGGACTATTAAACAAGTTTAGGTTAACGAAATTCACCTATTTTGTAGATTTTATTCCAGAATGAAGAAGATATTTTATAGGCCAAGTTTAATAAATGATTTATGTTCAGAACACAAAGTCTTATATTTGGTCTCTGAAATCTCCAAATACCGGTAGTAAACTAATTATTATATAACCCTCCAGAATAAACTTTTTTTTTTTTTTTTAATAATGAAATTAAATTAACATGATAAAAAGCAGTGTGTATTCTGTAATAAGTGTGCAGTTTTTGACACTGTTCATTTGAAGGTCACTCCAAGGGTACAGAGAAGCAGAGCCAGCCCAGGCTGGTGGCCGCCCTCAATCACAGTGACATGGTGATAAGTCTAGCAGCAAGTTCTGATGCTGCCATCGTTATTCTGACAGGCAAGGGTGACCTGTATGTCATACACGAGTACCAGTGTAGGAAAATAGCCTCCAAGTAAGTACAAATATAATTCACATATGTCAAGGTTACAGTGGCTCTGCTTTAAAACACATTCTGGGTAAGGCCAAATGAAATTAATTACTTGTTTCTCAGGCCATTTTTTTTCAAAATAGATGCGGCAGGGCGGGTTATTGTTTTTTCATTTTACATGGCAAAAACGAGACGAGGGCGATTTTTTTTTATTGTGTAGTTTGTAAAACGTTCATTGTGGACATTACCTTGTCTTTTTATAGTTGTGTAGAGACCCGTCATAGAGCAAGCATCCGAAAATCCCCCCACAATGTTCCAAACTAGAATCACGAACCCCCCATTCCTTATTTGTACCGAATTGAGTGCCATTTGTACACAAGACTAATAAGTCATAATCATTTTAATGCTTGCCTGTATCTCAATCCTCACATCTAGGCTACATTCGCATATTCCGTTTGAAACGGTACGTGTTGCGCAGAAATTTTCCACGATAAATGAACATACTTGGACCGTTCTATAAGCAGAGCTAAAAATGTACAGTTTCGGAGAATAAAAAACAATGTATCAAGAATATTATGCCCTTCTCTCACGCGTCCACTAATTTACATAACGTATCTTAAAAATTACATGTGGCTTGACATTGTTTAAGAAATAACGCAAATTGGCAATAGTCAGCCTTTTAGTTTCGGTAAGGTACGTCTGGACCCCTCAATCTACACGTGCTAAATTTTCCTGAGGTCAGCCTCGGTCCAAATCTGTACCTGACGTTTTCTTTACAGGTTCAACCGGATACGCAAATGTAGCCTTATTCAAACGTTTTTGGCACTTGGGTGACTAACGAGTAAAAATGACATGCGGACCAATTTTCTGGATTATTTTTTAAAGATGGCGGCTGGCGCATTCACGATTTTTTTTTTATTACTTTCACGATAAAATCGGCAATGCGCACACTGCCATGAAATGCGCGCGGGCCTGAGAACCAAGTAATCAAATTTTTTGGGCCTAATCTTTTGTGCTATTACTGAGTAGTTAAATTTAATTAATACAGAAAAAAGCGAACCATATTAGTTATAGTCCTATAGCATATTGTGTGATACATTTTTCCTATAATTTGAGGGCCCTCAATATGAATGTGAACTTAACAGACCAAGCACATTTACTTTGAAATGCAATAAAATAAAGTTGATATCTAAATGTTTGCTGTATCGAAATCTAGAGTAGTTTACAATTTTTGTCATTGAAGGTTACAAGAGGTCACTAAATTGTTAATATCCGGAGGGAACCTTGACCACAACACTGACCTGGACATCATCAGGGAAGAGGGAGGATCTGAACTAGTGGTGGTTCTGCTCAGTGAATCTGGCTCTGTAAGTCATACACAACATGGATACTACTTCTTACCAATGGATAGACTACAAATCAGTTGATTAGTTTCAAAACATGTATTTACAATTTCGCTACCAACTACATATAGAGTTTCATGAGAACTTTAAATCACAAAAAGAACAAAAAGTGGAATTACCCACATGGGACATCATTGTTGGTGAAATTTCCTTTTTTTAAGTTCTGAATTATCAAGATCAACCTTCCCGAATTGGGTGGCTTGACAGGTATGTATTAACCTTTTGTTGTAGACCAGTAGACCATATCCTCGTGTAATAGACCAATAGAAAATGTCCCTGACTTCTATGTTTGTAGGTGTTGATATGGCGAGCATCACTACCCAAGCTGAGGCAATGCCAGTGGCGCATACGTCGTCAGCTCATTGTAAAGGATGTGAGTCTCAGCAGGTCTACCATAGGGATCATCACAGAGAAGGGTGAGGGCTTCCTGGGTACTATCACAGCCGCAAAGCCAAATAGTTCTAAAGACACCACTCAACAACATGGCAAGACTAAAGGTAAACAACATGGCAAGACTAAAGGTAAAAAATATTGTATCATGCCAGTGATTTTTTAACTTTTTTTTCCAAAGGGCCGGTGCCTTTTTTTATTGGGAATTTTACTGCACGGACACAAAGAATTGGGAATTTTACGACATGTTACGGATGTATGATATTGGGGAAATTTTGTTTGATTGCGCTCAAACAACCTCCTATGTAAACAAAGCTTGAAGCTTGAATTCAATGCCCCAAGATAAACTTCTATTTGTGAAAATTTTTAACCACGTTGTACAACACTAAAAATGGGGTAAAAATATCACTACATGTCCCATCATAACATTGGGTGGTTGGATGCATATAGCATTGTCAGAATAGATCCATTTGTACATACAACACATCATGCTTTACTACATTTGCTTTTCATTTATCGTGAAGATCCAAAGTCAAAGTCTCTTCTTACAATTAGTGTTGGGAATCAATTGAAATTTTATGATGGATCAATGGTTACCATAAGCCTATCGTTTAATAATAATCGTTTCTAAAAACCCTCCATGTTGTTGCTGCAAGTTGCTAACACAAATGAAAAATAATGCATGTACATTTCATTTTGTATGAAATAGCTTCCTACAAACACTAGATCTGTAATTTATAGTCCTAACCAGGCTGAACAGTAAAAGTGAGTCAGTGTTGATGTCAATGTAGCAGCTTCTTATATTATCTGGAGAATATTGCATTACTCTTGATAATATCTAGCAAGGAGATAAACTTGAAATTATCAATCAATCTACTGAAACTCCATAATATGTATCTACCCACATTTATTCCGACTAAAATCAATCATGAATTCTGCATAATCCCTACACACAATTATTCCGACAAAAATCAATCATGAATTCTGCATAATACATACACACATATGTTCCGACTAAAATCAATCATGAATTCTGCATAATCCCTACACACAATTATTCCGACTAAAATCAATCATGAATTCTGCATAATACATACACACAATTATTCTGACTAAAATTTATCATGAATTCTGAGGTCATGAACCATTTTATTGGCCTAAATAGTCAATTAAGTCAATTAAAGGAGAACAACCCAACATAAAAACATTCATTATGAATTGACAATACATTAAACTAACAAGACACACTACAAATTTAGCACAATGTAATATTATAGGTATGTGATTGTAGGTGAGCGAGGTCGTGGCCATGGTGACCACCGTCCTGATGAGTTTAGTATGAGCCTGCTGGACCTGATGCTGAAGGATGGAGATGAGGAGGTTCAGGTTCACAGGATCCCACAAATCCATCGTGGACTCTTCATCCAGACTGACATCAAAGGACGTAACTACGCTGTGCAGCAGGCACTGGTCAATCTGTGGTAGGACATTATTTATCTCCTCTAATGACAAGATCACTAAAACTTCACAACCAGTGGTTGATAAATGTTATTCAAGAAATCTGACTGAATTTTAAAGTGACCATGTATTTAATATTGATATTTGATTGAATTTAAACTTCCAAAGCATCAAAATTGTTCTCTTTAATGTTAATTGCTTAATCCAAAAAAAAAAAAAACCTGCTTTATGTGATTTATTTGAATTTTTTGATTTGTTAATCAATCAAGAAAACTTAAGGTTTTAATATCATGATAATGCTTGATTTCCTTTTATAGATCAGGTCTATCTAATATTTTTACATTTTCTCTAACAAATACTGTATTATGTATTAAACATATCAATAAAATGGAAGTAGCCATTTCTACGCATTTACAGTAACAGAGGTCACTTGTTCAAATGCCACTGAAATTGAACCCAGAACTACAGATTACTAGTCCAGTGTTCTCCTGATTGAGTTAAAGAGAACTTGGCTTTTATCAAGTCATGAACAAGCGACTTGATGTTTCACCACTGCACCAGTCATAAATAGAACAACAAAATTCAGTGTTACAGATGTTCCTTGTGTCAGCAGTTCTACGTTCATAGAGGACTTCACTCAACTTCTGGATGAGGCAGACGAGTATGATGTGATCCATGACATTGTTATACAGGTAAGCCCTTCAATCTGTCTCAGCAGGAACATCTACAATGTACTTGTTGTAAAACCAAAAATAAGACAACTTAATTGTCAGTATGATTTGATATATATATTTATTTTTTTATCTTAGATATTGATGTGACATATTTTGGCGAAGATACTTCTACCACAAAACATCTTTATCATTAAGATGACCTGAATCTCTGCACATGAGAAATGGTCCGACACGAATTGTCCAAAACATGGCGATCTAACCAATTTCATGTTGCATGTTCTTATGTTAGTGAGCAACTTATCTCAGATCTCTGAATATAGATAAGATTTGTATCATCTTGGCATATTGTGAAAATAATGTTTCCATTATTTATAGGCAGGTGGGCATACATGGCCAGCCCATAAGTACATCCTACTTAGCAGGAGTGACTACTTCCACAAACTTCTGGCCGAGTCCAAAAAGAAAGATTCATTAACTGATCATCAGGTTATCTATATTGATGATATACACCCAGATATATTTGAGCAATTACTGACCTTCCTGTATACTGACACCTGCAGCCTCCTTACCCCGGGGACAAAGTTTGACCTGAGTCCATGGACACCCCCTCCTCAGGGTCAGGGGGACGGGTTTGACAGGAATGAGGTGGAGAAGGGAGACAGTCCTGATATTTTCTTCTCCAAATCTGGGAAAGAGTTGTCAGCATTTGAGGTTCGTCAGAAAATGAAGAGTGCCAGTAAAGAGATCAAAGATAATGGCAACAAGGCCAGAACTAAGAACCCTGTCAAAATGCTGATGGATGCTGCCAAGAAATTTGGAGTTAAAGGATTGGGGAAGAGGTAAATCAATGAACAGGATTTCTAGGATATATTAGGTACAAAACTTGTGTTTTTCAGAAACAGCACAAAATCATTTTGAAAATTTTGAAAGTTCTTATTTTCAAGAATAACTACTATTGAAATCAAGAAGGTTTTAAATTCATAGAATATTTAAGATTTCTTTATTCCTTATTTTTGTAACTTTGAAGCTGTTATTTTATTTGTTACACTTAGACTGGAGACAGTGAAGTATGTGAATGGAGGAATTGAGCTGGCCAAGAAACATTCCACTGTACCAAAGATGAAGTTTGACAGACACAAGTTGTGAGTTAAGACTTTAAATGTCTCTTGAAATTGTTAATATAGTGAGCTCGGATTGCATTGCAGTAAGGGTCAATGTGATAAAGCTCTAGTTTAATAATTCAAATATCACTTATACCACTACAGAGGTCATTTAGGGAGACGCTTGCCCCAACATGAGTAAATTCATTATTGTGTTAATACAGTAGTGACATCAAGGACATACTTCCCACCATCAATAGTTAAGGGGGATCTGCCCACCTTTTAATATTTCTCTGGCTTATTTCATAATAACACTCTGTACAAATACATTTTTGAATAGAGGGAGAAATCAGGTGTGTTTTTTTCTAATTGAAATAACATGTGAGATTCATAGGAAAATGACCAAGGTAATTGATAGTCTTATCCATGTATTGTAAAATTGTTTTTGTCCACAGATGTGATCTGTATGATGTTAGTATCCAATCAGACAGTGACACAGTGATCCACTGTCACAAGTGTGTGTTAGTGGCCAGACTGGAGTACTTCCACAGCATGCTAGGCAGTGGCTGGGTCGAGGTAAGTAGCCTGAACAATGAACATCTTTTATCTCCTGATGTTGACTGCCAGTAACTTCACCTTATCCAATCATCCTAATTCCCAAAGAATCATGTTAAAAATATACTTGTATGCATCTATTGCTAATGACTTTGACATGATATTGAAATTACTTGCTTATTTAAGCTGTTAAATAACTTAATTTATTTTATTTGATGACAAAGATTACAAAAACTGACTTCACAGAAAAAGTTTTATTGACAATGCTGAGTTGAAGTCTTATTTGAAGGTTGATATTTTTTTAGGTAATCTAACTACGGAATTTTGGTTTGAAATTCTGATAGCTTAACACATGTTATTGTAATGCAAACCTGAACTCATTTTCACAAACTTCACATTAAGTACAGAATTTCGAGGATTCTTGTTTGAATTTTCCAAAAATTCTGAACTAATTATTGATGTTTGATAGTGTAAAGCAAGTTTGACCTGATCCTGTTTAAAACTTATGTGGGTGAACTTTATCTGATTTTGTTTATAGATGATGTTTGTGTTGATGAATTTGACCTGAAACAATGTTTATGACATAAGCACCATATTTTAAGTATGTAGATGACCTGGATGAATTGTATTTCAGACATCCAACACAAAATCTCTCTCTCTACCTGTTTCTGGCGACATACTGGTGATACTCGTAGACTTTCTGTACACAGACTCCTCTGTTAAAGTGGAAGGTGGGTATGGCATTTAATCTTTGCCAGACAAAGTATCCTCACTTCATAAAAGTGCCCCCTTTTCAGTCAATTTTAATTTCTGCCTTGCATTATATCATCTATTCAGTAACACTTCAATTGACTTTGAATTTTGTCTTAATTTTCTACTATTGGCATGATGATCTTATTAAAAATAAATGCAATTTTATTTTCTAATAAATTTATTGCCATAAATTATAATGGTTTCTAACACTAAACACTTTTATGGTTTACATCAATATTATAATGACCTAACAGTAATAAATTTACAAAGGTTTAAATATTTATTTACAGAGTGCGTCAACGCTGAGTTCCTGTGTAACATCCTGGTGTCAGCTGACCAGTTGTTGATTAGCAGACTAAAGGAGATATGTGAGGTGTCCATCACCACACTCAGTAAGGTTTAATCTTAATTTTCTCTATTTCACATATAAAAGGTTTCTCTACATAATTAGGTAGAGCATTTGTAATGAAAAAAATAATTGCATCCAGACCCTTAACAAGAAAAAGAGAAGAGAAAAAGAAAATCAAAATTTTCACTGTTGTGTTTTCCAGTTAACCTGAAGAACGTGTCGGAGATCCTAGAGTTTTCCTGTGTTTACAATGCACATCAACTGCGGGCTGCCTGTCAGGAGTTCATCGTCATCAACCTGGCCGCCATGTTTGAGGGCAGGTATGTTACAATTATATTTACTACTTTTCTATACATTTAAAAGTGACAATAGAGCTGGCATATGTTTGCAATTTCTTGGAGCTTGCCTTTTACTGTTCTCTGTACTATCGTACTTGCACTCAGTAAGCAATAAGTCATTTTTCTGTGTTAACACAGACACCTTGATGTATTGAGTGACGATGTCTTGGCTGGTCTGACCACCTACTACCACAAAAAGACCGAAGCAATGTCCCGGCGTATAGTTACACCGTACTTTGACGGGCCTAGTAAGAATTTTCTGGAATCTCTGGTAGTAGACATGGACAGAGAAGGCCCTACGCCTTCTAGTGAAGGCAGTCACAAGAAAAACAAGTCAAAGAAGAGGAGAAGCCGTCAGAAAAGCTTGAGTGAGGAATTTGAAAAGTCAGCACAGATCACCCCACACAAACGGGATCGACAGATCTCAGTCAGCTCAGATACCAGTGTTAGGTCTGAGGAGGAAAGCTTAGATAACATCCTTAACTTACTTGCTACTAGTCCTGACAACACTGAAGCTGTACAGGTACTAATAACTGTTCTGAATCTATACAGGTACTTTCACATTATTTATTACAAAGTAATACTTTGTGTTACTTGCATGGGATTGTTCACTATAGTGGTGTGTTTACAGAGCCACATTACCAAGATCACTTTTAAAAATATCCTAGCACTGTACACGGTAGAAATCTTTTACAGCTTTGCAGCAATAAGCAATATCTTCATTCCAAGTTTAAAAAGAGTTACATTCCCTGGTAGAGTTGATACGTTCTTTACAATAATGTTGTAATGTTTCAGAGTCCAGTGGAAGATAGCAAAACCGAAAAACATTTGAACGAGAAGATGTTGCCAAGGGAAGAAGCATTACCAAGGAAGAACAAATCTAGATTCAAGAATACCCAGAAACCACTAACAATCAGCCTGACCTCAAGGTCACATGATCCCTTACCTGTGACCTCTACCACCTCTGTGACTTCCCCAGCGGCAGTGCAGCCAGTGGTGGTGGCCTGGCAGAAATCTCCTACTCCACAGAAATCTCCTACTCCACAGAAATCTCCTACTCCACAGAAAATCACCACTCCTAGTGTACTTCCTGTCTCGACCACGGATATGATAAGCCCCAGAGTTTCAAGTGCTGGACTCAGTCTTAGAGAGATCATGGAGGAAGAAAACAGGAGGTAGGGAAAACAAACTGGTCTACTTGGTATTTTGTCTTAGGCAATATCAAACTCATCACATTGAGTTACACTGAGATACCACAAATATCTCTAGGTACTACTGATCTGCTTCAGATTGTTCAAAGGTTCAAGATGACAATGAACTGTAGAAGACATATGAACGATAAATGTTAGCCATGTACTATACTGGTATGTTGATCAGCTTGTACACTGAATCTACAATCTTGGTAAATTCTATTTAACTTGTAAATGGTTGTAAATATACCTGATGTGCTACTTTTTCAGTAGCAATTGTTTGTATTTAAGAACAAAGATATTCTTATTTTATGTTCATGCTTACCTCAGGATTAAAAGTCCAATCAAGAGCAGCTCCAAGTTTTCCTGGAAGGAAGCCAAGAAACACCAGAAAGCTGTGGCCGTGAGCAGTAGTAGTCAGCCACCGGTGGGAAGTAATGAAACGGAGCCCCAAACCAGCCCCACCCCCAACAAACCAGCATGTCCATGGTAAACGTATCTTACTCTAGTAATTAATTTGAAATTTCCACAACACGCAAACAAACTCAGAAAACTCTGCTGAAATTATTTGAACAATATTTTAAAAAAAAACAACAACTTGATTTTCAATCAAATTTTCATCTAAAGTCTAGCCCCAGCTAACTATCTGGTATTAGTCATGGAGGACATCGTGAAATGAATAAATATGTTAATATATTCAACACTATTTGAACTGGTAATTCCATTTTTTTATTTGTTAATTTAAATAAGGTAATCATTTCTGATGTACCAGGATAATTAATTTTTGTCTTATTTCCAGGGGTGATGTGAACACCACAGTAAAACCGTTCAGAGATCTGATGTCCGAGGATAGCTCTAGTGTAGTCAAAAAATCCTCACCATCAAAACAGACCATCCAAACAAATCCTGTACCGCACAAGGGATCAAAACCAAAACCCACAGTCAGGTAATGGACGTTGATAGATTCCATTTCAGATCACAAGCGTTAAAACTGCTGTTTCCTGAAGTCCGACCCTGGAAATGACGTTTCAAAAGTGGTTTATGTAAATAGAAGATTGTATCTGCTCCTTCTATATCTATGAAGACTCGCAAGACTTAATCATTTGAAGTGGTACAATTTAACCTTTGTATCCTTGTCACAATCAGTCGACAATCATTACAGTTTTGCATTGATCTTGCAGTTGGGGAATACCAACAGGTCGTGTACGAAATGAGGGCTCGCTGAGTGACCCCATAACGGAGGAGCCTTTGAGTCCCAGGAGCCTGGACAACCCCTGGACTAAAAGAGTCATCGCCAGCCCCTCCCCTGGGGATTCTGTGAGCTTCACTGACATTGTCAAGGATGAAGAGCAGCGGTTTGAGACCCTGGCTAAGCTGGCCAGGAAACCCCTCGGCTTGATCCAGGTAGGTAGGAAGAATTGCACACTGTTAAGATATACAGTGGATCTCTTCAACAATGTATAATATCCTGTTTCTCAGAAAAAATTATGGAATAATTGGATATTAGATTGAATCATCAAACTACAGTTCATTATAAGGCTGCTTCAACCAGAAGTGAGAACCCCTATATCGCCAGACCATAGAACTTAAGAAGGAGCATTTACGGACATGGAAACACAACAAATTCATATGCTAAATTTCAAAGAAAATTGTATTTTATGCTTATACTATTTGACATATGGTTTCCACTTCAACTTTTGATCAGACCCAAGGATGGATTGTAGCGAGAGAAAAAAAATGTTTATCTATATTTATTTATATATTTTTTTGAAATAAAGAAAATACCAAATGATTAACATATTAATAACAAGTTCCTTTAAATTTGTTTATGTTGCCAGATAGAGGAACAGGCTATACAGGAGCTTTTGGTGTACTACCGGGCTGCCGACAACTTTAACGAACAGATTACAGTGGAAAGGGTCGTGCAGCAAATGGCAACACCGTTATGGAAAAAGTCGTAAAGCAAATATCTGATCAATACTGTGAACAAACATATTTTAGCAGTATTCTAATTTTGGCCCTTTTCTGGCTTTCAATATTGCGCTAAATTATGGTTGCACTAATTCACATTGAAGTTTCTATATGTAGTTTCCTATTGCGTATATTGTGAGAGTGCCAATTCACCAATTTGCTAAATTGATTGAAATTCAATAATATGCTAAAATCCACTCAAAAAGTATGTTACAGTAATTCAGATCATATTAAAAAACGTGTTACAAGACGACTGCCACTTAAAACCTTGTGTTATATATCTTAAACAAAACAATTAAGATACATAGAATAGACAAAGGTAAATAGTAGAGGTGAAATTAACTGATACATAGAATAGACAAAGGTAAAGAGTAGAGGTGAAATTAACTTGATTATGTACATTATAATTGGTAGGATTGTAACCATTTACAGAGCTGATGTGGTGTTGGAATACATGAAAAAAGTGTTCAATGGTAACCAGAAAAGATTACTTCATAGTTCATTTACACTGTGTAAATATTTAGATCATCACATGTTTATCAATTTAGAAAAAAGTACACAAGCAATGAAAATTAGCATAAAGGTATGTGTAACATCTGTTTATAGTGCTATAGTGAGTTGTTGATGGTGCTACCAGTAATCTTAGAAGTTATTGAGTCAATCTTACATTTTGTTAAAAGTGCTGTAATGAATTTTTACGAGAAAGTTATTACAACATGAACAAATAATGTGGTGTTATGTACTGATTTTTAAAACCAATCTTTGTCTTTCCAGTAGATAGCCATGTGTTCTCTTTTTATGAAGCAAATTGATTGAAATTTGCTGCTTTACTGGCTCATGGTATTTCATTAAGTAAGATGACTCGTTTCTTGAATGTGTGTATTATTGGTGTACATGTGTGTGTGTGTATTATTGGCTTCCTGAGTGTGTGTACGGTTGATGTATATGTGTGTGTGGATTATTGGATTCCTGAGTGTGTGTAGGGTTCATGTACACTTTACATGTGTGTGTGTGAGGACTATTGGTTTTCAAGTGTGTGTAGGATTAGTGTACATTTGTGTCTATGGGATTACTGGCTTCCTGAGTGTGTGTAGGATTAGTGTTCATTTGTGCATGTGTTATGATTTTTACCTAGAAACTACCATTAACTTTTAAATAGCATCATCTTTGAACTGATCATTGGCCAGTTCATGTGACATCTGAACTTATTTTCACATCAGTGTTTTAAAGATTTATGGAATCGCTCTATGTATTCCCGTTAAAAACATATCGTTCAGAAAGAGTATTGAATGTTTATTGCCTGTCCTTAAATACATATCAACTGTATTCAGAGACAACATTGAAGGTTCTGAAAGCAATTGTCAATACTGAAATATGTAATCAATGTAAAGCATGTGCTGTCGCAGAGTTAGAACTACTATAGTGTCATTGTTTTGTTAATAAATGAAAGCAAATGTGTGAAGAACGTACAATACTTCTGTGTGTGCCACATTTTCATGGTTGTGTGAGAAAATAATCACCACAAGTTAACAGCATCTAAATTATTCAGATGGATGTGTTTATCTGAATTAACACAAGTTAACAAGACAATATGATACAATGTAATTAATACCATATTAATGCAAGGGAGAAAGTTGGTATGCACAACCTGAGATAACTTTTTGTTTCAGTAATTTTGTAGTAAATTTTAAAAGTTGTTCTACTAAAAATAAGTTTTAAAATAAGCCATTGATTTAATACATGATTTTAGGGTATAACTAAATATGTAATCTAACTCTTAATTGTATGACACTTTATATGTGTGTTTTACAGTGTTATGCAGATTAGCGTGTCTGAATGGGAAAGCTATTCCTTGCGTACAATATCTATAATTGTACAGTGTATATATATGTGTGTGTGAGTGTGTGTTGCCGGTACTCGGCTGATTTTGTGCCTGCCGACAAGTGTACAACTTTTATTAATTGTATCATTACAATCACCAAAGAGGTTTTTGGTAAATATTTTGTTGACAGTGCTATATTGTTGAACATTTTTATGTTCATTTACATTATTGTTGATATTATTTTACACAATTTTTGCTGATAATGTAAATAATGTCCTATTTATTATACAAACTTTGTTTTTATTATTGTTAACTGATGTTGTTACCTCCCCTGAAGTGGATCATTGTCTCTATGTACAGTCAATGGTGCAGTTTATTGGGGTTTAGACACCTGAAACACTAAAATTGAAAACTTTTGTTCCCATTTTATCTACAAATATAAAAAGACTGCATTAATAGCTGGAAAATGCAAGTGCATGTTGTAAAAATTTAATAAAGCATTACCAGTACATATGTGAAGGGAGTTAACTCTTTGAAGCTTGGAGTATTTCCAAATCAATTGTGAGTATTAGGTCAAATGTTGGTGTAATATAAATTGGAGGATGAAACTTGTAAACTCATACATCAATCAGTCTATTAAACAACTTAAAGACGTCAGTATCATTGTGTTCAACCAATCACCTATGTATAACAAATAAGATATGTAAATAAATTATTTGCTGTCAAAATCTGCTTTTGCTTACATGTTGCAATAGTGGTAGCCCTGGAATCCAAGGCTATGCTGATTGTTGTGAGGTTATGATTATGTCTGGATACTTAAATGTTGTCAGACAATAAATTTTGCCATTTTGAATTGTTTTAATATTAAAAAGTAAAGAAATTTAGCCATGATAAGATGATTAGAATTTACCTTGCAATAATACATGAATGATGATACTAATCCCTTCATTTGTCAAGTAATGAAGAATGGTACATATTTCATGCTTTTGATATGGTTTTTCAGCTCACCTGATCCGAGACTGGTGAGATTATGTTATCGGCGGGGGAGTCCATCAGTCATCAACTCATCCTTTAAAATGCTTCTAGTCCAGAATTTGGTATTGAAACATCCTTTGCCAAAGGGATTGAATGTTGTATAGGGCTAAGAGGTTGGCCCCAATAAGGAAAATAGAGATTAATCTTTAAAGTCTTAAGTACTCCTTTAGTACAAATGTAGAGATTTTTGCTGAAAAATTTGTCTAGAGCACACTTGGCCCATGGAAATTCAGTGGTGTATAAACAGAGGATGTGGCCTCTGTGGGGGCAGATAAGTTGGGCCTAAAGGGAGAAGTTATGTCATACCTATGTAACTTTGATGTGGTTTGTATCCCCAACCCTATGAAGAGACGAAGATAATCATGCTACTTTGATTGGCCCAGAAGTCCAGCCCAACCCCTAAAGCTTATTCACTGGGTTATAACATGGAAACAGTTGAGGTCCTCACTCTAAAACCATATATAGAATTGCTAGGCATAAAGAGACAAATACACTTGTGCTACCAGGAATTTTCTTTAGTTTGGCCCCACCCCTAGGGACTTACTCCCTGGGTCATAACATGCAAACAGTCGAGATCCCTACCCTACTCTTGTTTATCGCTTGTTTTGCCAAGTTCCAAAATACGTTGCAGTGCCATTTATGCTTTGAGAAAGAAAAAAGTTGTTGCCATAATTTGTTAAAGACTGCAATTTAAACATGATTACAAGTGTTCAACTTAATGTCATTTACTCATTATACTGTGAGGTTTAAATGTACCAATCAGATAACCAGTTTTGTTTTCATCAGCACATGTTATTATTATTTTTACTCCATTTCATACTATCATTTATTTCTGGTAAGAAGTTCAAGTGTTACCGGAAAGCCAAGTGTTTGTTGTTACATATTTTTCTACCTGTGGGATGTTACAATAAGCAGCTTTCATAGTGAGGTTGTTTACCTAACATGTACATCAGAAACAGACTGATCCGGTGTTAAATGAAATTCTCCAGTTGTGTCTTCTAAATATGTTAATTGAACATATTTGTATATATACATTNTTTCAAGGTCACAGGGGTCAAATGTCGTAAAATCTTCAAGCGACTTCTTTTCAATAAGCAAAAGGGCCAGGGTACTGAAATTTGGCCTGTAGCATGCCGGGATGAAGGATTACCATGTTAGTTCAAATGAATGACCTTGATCCACTTTCAACCTAATGTCCTTGTTCGACAATCAAGGTCAGAGGCGTCATATTTTTAAATCTTTTAATAGGTTCTTATGAAATCTTAAGATTACAAGTGTTAGATTAATAACAGGTGAGCGATGCAGGCCCATTGGGCCTCTTGTTATAGACATCTTGTCATCAATCTACTTTTCCCACTACGTTTTAGCTCACCTGGTCTGTAGGACCAATGTGAGCTTATGACCTAGGGTAGATTTCCTTGTCTGTTAACAGCTTCTACTGAACTGTTGATTTAATTTGACTGGAAGCATCCTTTGATCATGAAGATTCAAAATTTTACAACTGATGGGTTGGACAACCTCGGGATAAGGAGAGGAGCCAAAAAAGGGTAAATTGACCATATTGCTTTCCTCAAGCCCTATGAGATTGATATCAACCAAACTATATATGATTGTACTAATGGAGGGACCGGTCCCCTTGGGATAATTTAGTCATATTGGTTTAAGCAATATCTTCTCTTGAATTAAGAGATAGCTATCATAGGTACAGTATATGTTTGGTTGAAAAATATCCCCAGATTTCAAACATGGAGAAGAATTGGCCTTTGGGTCTGCCACATGCCCCCCACCCACCTTAAGGAACTGTTTCCCTTGGTAACAGCATGGAAACATCCGAGAACTGCCCCAATAGTAATATACGCAACTGCCGAGTATGAAGATTTGACTGGATGACTGTCCCTGTCCCTGTCCCTTGGGTTTTATCTGAAATATTACTGTTGTCGAGAATAATTTGCTATGATTGTTTTAATAGTCCAGGTGAATGGAACAGGCCCTCTAAGGCTCATGTTCCTCTGAATCATTATGCTAAACATCTCTCCTCACCTTTGTAAGGTGTTCGCCTGTCCAAAAACAGAATTTTCTCTTGAGCTTGTAATTTTTCTTTAATAATCGATAACAGTTTTCTCATTTCAGATATTATTTCTGTCTTCTTTCATACACTCCTCTCCTAAATAAGAAAGTAAAATAAAAATCTGACTTGTTGTTAAAGAAGTAAGGGATTTATGAGTTTTTGTTGATGGTTTTAGCAATTTAAATATAAGTTCTTATCTTCCCTTCCATGTGTACAGTATACTTGTGATTACCGCAATAAAATGTGATTAAACACCACGTTCTGAATTTGTCTTTAATTTAATTATATATTGATATAGTTTAATTATATATTGATATAGTTTAATTATATATTGATATTGCAATCGGTCGTAGCTATTTGTAGACAGATAGATCATTGACATTGGAATTCAACGGAAAACAAGGGAGATTCTACAAAACATCAGCAAAGATGAAAACGCTAACGCGAAGAGGCATTGGTACAACTACTCACTACAAGTATACATTGCACTTAGCACCGAACTTATACAACAAGCTGTTTATCAACAGACTTCTGACAGATATACAGTATAGGAAGGGCGGTACGTCTCGAATAACCACCCACTTGGACATCATTTTGATGTAACAACAACCAACCCCCTATAAAACAGCTTCTTCAACTACAATTGATAACCTCACTAAAGGAAGGAGAGCTTTGTACAGTCTGATGAGGACAAACTGGTCTCTATCCTTGTACAAAGAAGCGATATTTATTTATGGACTGGAAGTTATTCTTCCAACTGACGAGGAACTGAATATCTTGGAAACAGAGTTTAGGAAAACCCCGTAGCAGGTCGTGTCTATTGACTGACATGTGCAGACGCAGAAGTTGACAAACCCACGGGCCCAACCCAATTACTGAGAGATGTTTGTGGTAGCACGATTTTACTCTTATCTCCATTCTTTAAAAGGCAAGTTACACAGATGGGATACTGGTATGTATTCGTTGACTAGGAAAAAATACCGTAATTTGATATAAAATAACAGTCTG